TGGGACACTGCAGGCCATGGACTATCATTTCAATTCCATCCATCCATCCATTTTCTTCCGCTTTATCCGTTGCCGGGTCGCGGGGGCAGCAGTCTAAGCAGAGACGCCCAGACTTCCCTATCCACACACACTTCCTCCAGCTCGTCCGGGGGGACCCCAAGGCGTTCCCAGGCCAGCTGAGAGACATAGTCTCTCCAGCGTGTCCTGGGTCTTCCCCGGGGCCTCCTCCCGGTGGGACATGCCCGGAACACCTCCCCAGGAAGGCGTCCAGGAGGCATCCTGAACAGATGCCCGAGCCACCTCAACTGGTTCCTCTCGACGTGGAGAAGCAGCGGCTCTACTCCGAGCTCCTACCGTGTGACTGAGCTCCTCACCCTATCTCTAAGGGAGCGCCCAGCCACTCTGCGGAGGAAGCTCATTTCGACCGCTTGTATCCGCGATCTCGTTCTTTCGGTCATTACCCAAAGCTCATGACCATAGGTGAGGGAGGGAACGAAGATTGACCGGTAAATCGAGAGCTTTGCCTTTCGGCTCAGCTCCCTCTTTACCACAACGGTCCGATACAGCGACCGCATTACTGCGCACGCTGCATCGATCCGCCTGTCAATCTCACGCTCCATTCTTCCCTCACTCGTGAACAAGACCCCGAGATACTTGAACTCCTCCACTTGAGGAAGGACCTCTCCACCCACCTGGAGAGGGCAAGGCACCTTTTTCCGGTCGAGCACCATGGCCTCGGATTTGGAGGTGCTGATTCTCATCCCAGCCGCTTCGCACTCGGCTGCAAACCGTCCCAGTGCATGCTGCAGGTCCTGGTTCGTTGGAGCCAACAGGACGACATCATCCGCAAAAAGTAGAGATGAAATCCTGTGGTTCCCGAACCGGACCCCCTCCGGCCCCTGGCTGCGCCTAGAAATTCTGTCCATAAATACAGTGAACAGAACCGGTGACAAAGGGCAGCCTTGGCGGAGGCCAACATGCACCGGGAACAGGTCTGACTTACTGCCGGCAATGCGAACACAGCTCTGGCTCCGGTCATACAGGGACCAGACGGCCCTCAGCAGATGACCTCCGACCCCGTACTCCCGGAGAACCCCCCAAAGGACACCCCGGGGAACACGGTCGAACGCCTTCTCCAAATCCACAAAGCACATGTGGACAGGTTGGGCGAACTCCCATGAACCCTCGAGTATCCGATGGAGAGTATAGAGCTGGTCCAGTGTTCCGCGACCGGGACGAAAACCACACTGCTCCTCCTGAATCCGAGATTCGACCATCGGACGTAGCCTCCTCTCCAGTACCTTGGAGTAGACCTTACCGGGGAGGCTGAGGAGTGTGATCCCACGATAATTGGAACACACCCTCCGGTCCCCCTTCTTGTAGAGAGGGACCACCACCCCGGTCTGCCACTCCATTGGCACCGCCCCCGATCGCCACGCGATGTTGCAGAGACGTGTCAGCCAAGACAGTCCTACAACATCCAGAGACTTTAGATAGTCAGGACGGATCTCATCCACTCCCGGCGCCTTGCCACCATGGAGGCTGCCAACCACCTTGGTGACCTCGGCCAGGGAGATGGAAGTGTCCGCCCCAACATCCTCAGCCTCTGCCTCCTGAACGGAGGACGTGACGGGGGGATTGAGGAGAACCTCGAAGTATTCCTTCCACCGCCCGACAATATCCTCAGTCGAGGTCAGCAGCCCTCCACCCGCACCATACACGGTGTTGGCAAAGAACTGCTTCCCCCTCCTGAGGCGCCGGACGGTTTGCCAGAACCTCTTCGAGGCCGACCGATAGTCATGCTCCATGGACTCTCCGAACTCTTCCCAGTCCCGGGTTTTTGCCTCTGCAACAGCCCGGGCCGCGGCACGTTTTGCCTGCCGGTACTGGACAGCTGCCTCAGGAGTCCCACGAACCATCATTGCTCGATAGGACTCCTTCTTCAGCCTGACGGCATCCCTTACTGCCGGTGTCCACCACCGGGTTCGGGGATTGCCGCCGGGACCAGCACCAGAGACCTTGCGACCACAGCTACGAGCCGCCGCATTGGCGATAGAGGAAGAGAACATGGTCCACTCGGACTCGATGTCCCCCTCCTCCGTCGGGACCTGGGAGAAGCTCTCCCGGAGGTGTGAGTTGAAAGTCCGTCTGACAGGGGGCTCCGCGAGACGTTCCCAGCAGACCCTCACTATACGCTTGGGTCTGCCAGGTCTGACCGGCTCCTTCCCCTGCCAGCGGATCCAACTCACGACCAGGTGATGATCGGTTGACAGCTCCGCCCCTCTCTTTACCCGAGTGTCCGAGACACGCGGTTGAAGGTCAGATGATACGACAACAAAGTCGATCATCGACCTCCGACCTAGGGTGTCCTGGTGCCACGTGCACTGGTGGACACCCTTGTGCTCGAACATGGTGTTCGTGATGGACAGGCCGTGACTGGCACAGAAGTCCAACAACTGAACACCGCTCGGGTTCAGATCAGGGGGGCCGCTCTTCCCGATCACCCCTCTCCAAGTGTCACTGGCATTTCCCACATGGGCGTTGAAGTCCCCCAGGAGAATAACGGAGTCCCCGGGCGGTGCACTGTCCAGTACCCCTCCCAAGGACTCCAAGAAGGCCGGGTACTCTGCACTACCGTTAGGCCCGTAGGCCGTCACAACAGTGAGAGACTTGTCCCCCACCCGGAGGCGGAGGGACGCGACCCTCTCATTCACCGGGGAGAACTCCAACACGTGGCGGCTGAGATGGGGGGCAATGAGAATGGCCACCCCAGCTCGCCGCCTCTCCCCGCGGGGAACTCCAGAAAAGTGGAGCGTCCAACCCCTCTCAAGGAGTTGGGTTCCAGAGCCCAAGCTGTGTGTGGAGGTGAGGCCGACTATCTCTAGTCGGTATCGCTCAACCTCCCCCACAAGCTCGGGCTCCTTCCCCCCCAGTGAGGTGACGTTCCACGTCCCAACAGCCAGATGTTGGGTGTGTGGACTGGGTCGTCGAGGTCTCCGCCTTCGACCGCTGCCCAGTCCTCGCTGCACCACGCCACCACGGACCCCTCTGCAGGTGGTGGGCCCACAGGAGGGACTGCCCACGTCATCCCTTCGGGCTGAGCCCGGCCGGGCCCCGTGGGCTAAGGCCCGGCCACCAGGCGCTCGCTTGCGAGCCCCGACCCCAGGCCTGGCTCCAGGGTGGGGCCCCGGCTGCGCCATGCCGGGCGACGTCACGGTTTTTGTTGTCGTGCTGTCCATGGTTGGCTTCGGACTGCGCTTCGTCTGACTCGTCACTTGAGACCTGTCTGCCATGGGAGGCCCTACCAGGGGCATGAAGCCCCAGACAGCATAGCTCCCAGGATCATCCGAGTGCTCAAACTCCCCCACCACGTTAAGGTGGCAGTCCAAGGGGGACTGTTCAATTCATTTCAATATATTTTTGTAAAGCCCTAAATCACAACAGTAGCCATTGGTCCATAGGAAACGGATAACCAATGTCCTTAAATGTCCCGGATCATCGATGTCTTTAGACCCTCCTGCATCTGCAAGGAAAAACTCAAAAAACCTGTGGGAAAAAGTGAGAAACCTCCGGGAGGCCCACATCTAGAGATGGATCCACTCATCCCCATGGGGTGCATCCCACCAGTCCGGGCCGGGGGAGATCAGTCGACAGGTGCAGATGAAAGAGGCTGGATTCAGCGGTCCCATGATTACGCTACAAAACAGAATAAAGAGACAGTGGATGAATAGCAACGAACACCTCCTCTCTGGAGACGTAGATGGTGCGAGATCTGACTGTAGCAGCATTGCTCAGTACGGACCAATCAATGTGTTTTTTTTATCATTGTGTTTCTTGTGTTTGAACTGTTTGATTCTCTGATCCGTGTTGGCGAATTCAACAGTTTTGTAAAGTCCTCGGAAAAAAAACTACTGTTGTGATTTAGGGCAATACAAGAATGAATTGAGTTGAATTGAAGTGAATACAGGTCATTACAGACATGACAACAAATACATTAACAGCACACTGTGACTGCAGCTTTGAATGTTCACGAGCCACAGTTTGGGAAACTCTGGGAAGGTTCTCAGTGTTAAAATGTTCTTGATCTGAGCCTGATGGAAGCTAACATCTGAGATAAAGACAGCAGCTGAGTTATGATTTTCAAAAAGTTACTTACACAAGACTCTTTCTCTTGGAACAAACATTTTTAAGTATAGTATTTGAATAAACATACATATTAGTTATTATAGTTTTTTGACACACAGAATCTGGATGTTTTTTGTCCAGGATCATGCCGACATTGAGTGGAAGTTTGCGAGGACAAAGTTGTGGATGAGTTACTTTGACGAAGGCGGGACGCTGCCTCCTCCTTTCAACATCGTGCCCAGTCCCAAGTCGGTGTGGTACCTTCTCATGTGGCTCCACACGCGGCTGTGTGTGCGGGTGCAGACCCACGGAGAGGATTCCCACAAGTGTGAGAACCTGCGAGAGTTCACGGTGAGACACAGGGACAGGGATATTATATATACTCTTTATGGACATTACTTTTCATGAGCCACATGGTTTTTTTGCATGTACTTCTAAAATGTATCTAAAAATGATCAATTATTGTCAAATATGGCCAATGCTATTTAGAATATTTACTGATAAAAATTTGTATTTTGTTTCAATTCTAGGTTTAGTTTTGTTGAATATCTGATTTTGACAACCCTGAGGATTTGCCACGGGTTTATTCAGAAACGCTAAAAAGTGCAGTGGAGCTGTCCGTGGTTCTGAAACGCTATTTTTAGCCCCATTATATTTGTTTATCCCTTTTCTTCAGTGAAAAATGCACAATCATTATCACTTATTGTTTCAAAAGCTGTGCACTAATTTCCCAATAAACTGGTAGTTATGAGCTCCTAAATCCTGGGCACTGTCTAAAAAGCGGCTTCCCGCGAACATTTCACTTTTTCTTTTCTTTAATCTATAACTGTTTTTAGTTATCTGTCTTTTACCAAGTTTCAGGGCTCCACCTGTTTGTGTCTGTTTCACTGAACATTTCTGCGGCAAAAAGGTTTTTTGAAAGGGGTGGTGGTTGGAGGGACCAATGGCACGTACTGGTTGCCTCGCTTCTGTCAGTGTGCCTCAGGGCAGTTGTGACCACAGTAGTTGAAAATCACAGTGTCTGGAGTGAAAAAATTGTGCCATGTGAAGTGTCTTTGACTGTCTGAAAAGCACTATATAAAACTAACACATTTTTATGCCCCCGCGACCTGGCAACGGATGAAGCGGAAGAAAATGGATGGATGGATGCATTTTTATTATCAAATTTGTTCAGAGAAATCCACCAGAGAATTTACCAGAGAATGTTTTACTTGGTGGAAATACCTTCATTATGTAAACGTATGTAAATAATATCCACAGATGCAAAAGATGAGCAGCAAACAACAAGTCTATTTAACAAAATTAATCAAACTTCAATTCACTGAAATATTATGACCCTAAGATCGGTCTCTTTAGCAGTGTATACTGTGTAAGTGTATGACATAAACTGTGAGGTTCATATGGAGCTGTGTTCACTCAGGCAGGATAAAGGTCTGCTGGTCTGTGCCAAACCAGTCCCTGTGCTCTGGTCTCACATGTAAACTGGACATATGTGCTCATTTAAGGCAAGATGGCCACTTTTCATACACGCTACAGAAGGGCTGCACTATGACTCACAATCCAGTCCGAATCTGTAATCCATGCTCTCATTGAGCGAATAACAAAGACTGCAACAAACACAAAATTCAGAAGATACAGACATTTTGTTTGTGAATTTTAAGATTTGTCAAAAAACAAAAAAAGTATCTACTGTCTTGTTGTCGGGCAGAAACAATATGGTCTCATTCCAAAAAAGACATGCATTAGTATGTATTAGAACTCCAAAACGTTATTCTTCAAATTGAACTCTCTCATCATAGTCGTTATTTTTACTCTGAACCACATTCTACAGACAGGATATTGAAAAACACATTTCAGTGTTGGTCAGAACTATCGCAAATACATATTTTGCCGAAATCCTGCAGCTCTAGGGACAGTATTAAAAGTTTCAATTACTCTCAGCCTTTTGTTGCCAGATTCTTCGGTGACACATGAAGCTCCTAGACACGGATTACAAACGCAATCCACCTTCTGGCGTCTTGCTCTCTGATTGGATAATCTTCTTGAAAAAAAATATCAAAAAGACAATGTCCATTTTATTTTTATTGAAGGAAAATTTTTCAGAAAAAGGTACAAAATGATGTGTACAAATACATGCATATATTTGTACATGTATATATAAATAATATAATTCAAAGTGTCTGCATAAGATAATAAGGCCTGTGTGTTGCATTAATCGTCCTGATGTTGTATTCTTTTCCATTCAAGCTGTTTTGAACTGATAAATGAAATGCACGTCTCTGTTGTAGCTCAAAGAAATGTTTTCAAAATGTAATACGAGGATTAACAAAACGCAGGTATTGTTTTGTGGCCGGGGGGATTTGTGTAAACAGCTCTGAGGTAAAGTTATGTTGAACAGAAATACACTTTGAGCCAAAACTGAACTGCTGCCACAATCTGAATCATTTGAATTTTAAGTAAGTACGTAAGTAATGTTTATTCATATCGCGCATTTTTGCCAACCAAGGTCACCCAAAGCACTTTCCGAGTTCAGAGTTTGTTCCAATCTCTCCACACACGGTGATGACGGAAGCGAGACGCAGAACACACTGGTGCATCAAAGTCCCCAATCAACACCATCCAATCACTCACTCGTTACGTCCATACTTAATGTACATGTTTTTAGTGGTAGCGGAAACCGGAGCACCTGGAGGAAACCTACGCAGACATGGGGAGAAGCAAGAGTACTAACCACTCTGCCACTGTGCCGCCCATCAAAACTTTTCTGTGGACGTCCCATTTTGTATACAGCACAAAGAGACAAGACATTACGTTCTAGATCACAGGTGTCAAAGTCAAGGCCCGGGTGCCAGATCCGGCCCGCGAGACCATTTCCAGTGGCCCTTGAAATGATTTGAATTATTATATTAAACAGCAGCATTAATAGTAATAGGCGACAAGGGCATGTTATCCATTACTAAAAAAACAACAATAACATTTAATTCCAGTCTTCAAGTACATTTCTTCTTAAAGATATGAAGGAGGATTTCCCAATTTTCTTAGGAAAGAACCGCCCTCTCCACTTTTTAAACAAAACTCTCTGGTTTTATTTGACGAACACGTATCACCAGAATGATGGACATTTGGGAGGACCAATAGTCTTGATGATTCACCCAATAGTATAAAATAATTCCACAGAAACTGAACTAATTCTAATCAGAAAATAATATAATAAATTAAACCCACTTATTTTTTCGGCCCCTGACCAGCCCTTTTTTTTTTATTCGGCCCTCAACCACCATAAGTTTGACACCCCTGTTCTAGTTTCAGCCTTTCGTGATTTAGTGGCTGTGACCTCCCAAATTGCATTTTTAACGTATTAACTATGAACCTAGCACGCTTGTTGCACGTCAAGTCTTGCATATTGAATTGTAATGTGATTTCCAGGCCTAAATATGGGCCTCAGCTGTGAGAGGAAGAGCAGGTCCGAGCAGCCGAGTCATCTGCAGCTGCTCCAAACGTTACATAAGAACAACAGACAGACCACTGGGACCATCGCAGAACACAGACACACACTGAGCCAAGTCCCACACATCGCATTGTTATTCCTCTTTAAATGACCCATATCGTGTTTTATTCAAGCCGTTTGCTGCTGAGTGGTTGGAACTAGCGAGAGGTTTCTGCAGCACATACAGTCTTTCCTGTGTGGAGGCAAGAAGCTCTGTATAATCACAACACAAACAACATGGCTGGTAGAATCTGAAACTGTATTAAGCTAGAGTTGAATGCTTAAGGTGAATGTGTGTTACTTTTTCAAACTGTGGAAAATGTCCCGTGGTGAAACAAAGCAGGACCCAAAAGGCAGGAATGCAAAAATAATAATTTAATTTTGACAACCCTGGGTAACAAAAACATATTTTTAGAAAATAGTCCAGGGTTTTCCAGCTGAATTAGACTGATTTTGATGCTCTGAGTCCGAAATCAGGTCAGGATTTTTTGCTACAGAAATATTTTTTTTAATCGATTTTGCCTAAAAAAAATAATTTCTGCGGATCATCAGCTGAGAAACCCTTGACGTGTTTTCCGTTTTCCTCAAGAAATAAAAGTCAACGTATCCAAAGTCATTCAGTTTTTATTTACTCCATCAAATTTGATAAGCAGAATTCATAATAACGTAGACGTACATAATCCGTAACACTATGGCTGTATCTCAAAAAAGTTGACCTGATAGAGCAAAATGCATGTGATATTCGGACTCAGAACACCAAAATTAGTCAAAATCAGTTGAGAAACCCCCGACCATTTTTTGGCTGTCAACTTGTGTAATAAATAAAAGTACAGGATACATAATGGACACGATTGTATCATTGTTTATATTAATATTTCTTCAGCAAATCATCCAGTCAGAGGGCAGGGCTAATTGCAGCCCTCTGTGTCATAATCTACGACCCTCTGACATGTAGTCTAGTCTTAAAATCATAAACACAGTGTCATCCAGCCAACTGCAGCTCAGGAAATTTGTATATATCTATATTAACTGACCTCATTAACTGACCCCTCTGACCTCAGCTCAGAGCCCCTCCATCTGGGAACTTTATTTGTATTCTCGATTGTGTCCAAAAAAATATGTCCAAGTGAGTCGGTAGTGAGATGGTAAACCCTGTCATTCAGCCAACTTCAGCTCCGCATCACAGCCAATCTCAAAGCTCAAAACATCCCGAGTCCAGTCAAATATTTTTAAATCTTGGTCAATTAAAGTGACCATCTTACAAAAAGGTTTGGTTGAGATGTGAGGGCAAAAACTACAGTGTTTTTTCAGTGTTTCATTTCACAGTATTAAAGTATGTTTCTGTAAAATGTTGTACATGATTTGTTCCATGTATGAGCTCTCTTTCTTTCCTTATGTTTTGTGCATAAAAAGACATGATCCATCCTGAGAGTATACAAAACCTGATGCACAATTAACGTACGTGTGTGTTTTCTCGCTTTCTGGAGCTGATTCTCCAGTGATTGACGAGGCCCAGAAGCAGAGCCGTAGAAAAAGAACAAATCTGTAGTGATTTAGCTCCACACAAAACACGACAAAGCAGCACAGACGCATTGCAGCGTGAAAAATGCCTTCGATATTACCTTTTGGGGACTGAGTATGAAACAGTAATCACATTTGAAGAAGAAGATGAGTGGTATTGATGTCTGTATTTGGATTCCTTTAGCTGTGGTCGATATTGTAACTTCACCGTCACACAGTTTTAAAACATTTATGGAGTTGAAATTGAAAAAGTCATGAGTTCTGAGTGTGGTTTTTGTGTTGCAGGAGAGACATGCCGACAGCCTGATCCAAAACCAGCATTACCAGGTGAGTTTTCATTCTTTTTGCCGGTAACAAAATGGCAATGAGACTATTTACTGTGTCATTTCATGTTATAAATGTGAAATATCATCTTCAGGAGAAACTATATGGTGAAACAAGTATGAAGGGTATAGAATGCTATCAGCCTGTAACTCCCTATTCCACCACCAGAAGGAGGAGTTGGATTTTTTTTTTGTTTGTTTACCATTTAGTCATTTCCTCAACCATTTGGTGGATCACGTTTTGATTCACTATATCTACTTGGAACTGAAACCGCCCTCATTGGGGCATCTCTATCTCTTGCTTTTAGGCACTTTGACCCTCAAACTGCATCCTAACCATTTGGTAAAGACTTACAATTAAAAACTAGGGGTAAAAAACAACTTTCTTCAAGGAGTGAACATTTAGGGGTTAGAATTACCAGCTGTAAACACAGACATGTGATTGCAAAGAACATAATTTAACTTGAGAAATTAGCAAAACTAATTTATGGGTAATATAAACTTGGAGACAAGAGAAAAATAAAGAAATTTTTTCTATGTCTCCTTTAATCCTGAACCAAAAACAATTGATTCTAGAGCTCTGTAGACTCAACCACGATCAACAGGTAAGGCACCATGCTACTGCTACCTGGTCTCTAAAAGGTCAAATATGAAAAAAAAAATGAAAAAAAAACATTGCATTTAACTATATGAACAAATAAAGTAGACATTTTTCCAAATACCATTTCTTGTTTTTTTCTTGAGTTTTGGTCACTGCTAAACCCACCTCTGGTCAGGATGTCTTCTAATCAGCGATGAAACGAGTGGGAGAAAGTATTTAAAATCTTCTCTCGGATATTATTGGCCGGCCTTTACTTTTGGATCTGCTTTGCTAGTGTTTGGCCGCGCTCGCCTTGTCTCCTCTGTGTTTTAATCTGGCGATGTAGCGTTGTTCGCGGTTATTATGGTTGTTCTGGTGGTGCTGCAGTGAGGCTCTGGCAGAGTGGCAGCCTGGACCGCGCACAGGTGTGGAGTGGGAGGAATGGCACTGTCTCTGCTGCACTAAATGTCCCTGAAATTCAGCTAAAACCTCGCAAATCAATACAGGTCACTACTGCTTATTCCATAGACTGCCATTTTGCTTTGTGTACGAAAAACACAAATCCACCTGTATGGCCTGGTGGATCTGTGTGAGAGCGGAGAAGTGGCTAGACAAGGGTCATTTTCACTTCGCAAATCAAATGTACTTCACAACTGTTTATCGATGTGTAGACTGAAGTGTGTTTTCAATGCATCATAATAATATCCAGGTATACCATTAAACTTAACACATGCAGAGACAGTCCTTTCTCTGTGGTTGGTCCAAAGCTATAGATTGCTTCTTGGTCTTTATTTATTTTTATTTAAGGACAGTAAAAATCAAGACAGACAAACAAAAATATAAGCATAAAAAAACACAAACCAAGGACAAACAAGGGACAAGCAAAGAAACCAAAGAAAAAAACAGACTCACAGATTAGATTTCTTCTTGTTTAAGACTTTTATTCTCCGTCACATCTTTAGATTAGCATGTTCAAACGTAAAAGTGAATAAAAAGGACCATGCTCATTCAGCCAATCAGCTCTCAGCCTATAAAGCCTGAGTAGTAATAGCATTAGTCGCTTATAAGGAAAGTAAGAAGATAGAAGACAGCATTTTGTGGTCTGACTTGTCCATAAAATGTTACTGTCACTCTTTCTGTTTGGTATTATATATGTGTACGTGTTATTATTTATGTTTTTTTTTATTCAACAAAAAAGTCCAGTTTTAAGATTAACCTTTACACTGTAACCATAGCGACTGGCTGTGTCCAACAGGAAGTGATCCGTAGCCTGGTGAAGAGGTACGTGGCGGCAATGATCCGGAGCGCCAAGACGGACGAGGGGCTCACAGAGGAGAACTTTAAGGTGGGGACATTTGACTTATTCCTTCAGTACTATTGCTATAACTTGATAATTATGTTTGACTTTTTACATTTTAAATTTATGGAACGGCACAAAATGGATTGTCAAAAGTACTGAAAATTAGACATTAATCACTGAAGACAAAATTTGCTTCAAAACGATTCATGCATTGAGGAAGAATTGCTACAGAAAATAATGACATTAATATGACATAATGTAAGTCTTAATTTATTACAGCCTTTTCATTTCTTATAATTTTTCTTTATAAATCATTGGTTGTTTAGTTAAATATATCAGACAGGAGACAGTCATTGTTATTTGAGAAGTTAAATAAAATTTCTGTCATTTACAGAAAATGTGCAAGAATTATTTAACCCAAAAAGCATGAGGCATTTTTTATTTATTTTTTATTTACTTGACAACCTGTTTTTGACTGGAATCTCAAAATTGGTTTTTGGATGAAGGATATTTAACTAGGCCAAATCTACAGTACATACTTACCTAAATCCAATCACTATCTTGTACTCTATATTTGCATTTTCATTCTTTCAGCTGTTCTGTTTGATCGTATCATATTTTGCCTCGTTTTTTGAATACGTTTTCACCACATATACATAATTACTTTTCCCTTGATCTGAAAAATGAAAGGAATTCTCAATTAACAAGATTACACATGTTATCTGCATATTAACCTGTTTGCTATATACTGTACTTTTTACCACCTAAAAAACATTGCCAGGATCAAAAACATAGTGTCTAAAGCAGAGTTGGAGATTCTTATCCATGCATTTGTCTCCAGTAGGTTAGACTACTGCAATGGCCTGCTCACAGGTCTGTCCAAACAGGCTGTAAAACAGCTGCAGTACATTCAAAATGCAGCAGCTCGAGTCCTGACTAGAACCAGGAAGTACGACCACATTAGTCCAGTTCTCAGGTCTCTGCACTGGCTTCCTGTGGCTCAGAGAATAGACTTTAAAACAGCTCTGCTTGTTACAAGTCTCTCCATGGCCTCGCACCAAAATATATTAGTGACATGTTAGTCCCATATGAACCAGCCCGGACTCTGAGGAGCACAGGGACTGGACTCCTGTTAGTGTCCAGAGTCAGAACTAAACATGGGGAGGCTGCTTTTCAGATTCATGCTGCTAAAATCTGGAACAATCTTCCTGAAGATGTGAGACAGGCCTCCTCTCTGACGATGTTTAAAACCAAGTTAAAACAGTTCTGTTTAGCTGTGCATACAACTGAGGGAATTTATATTATCTTTCTTTTTGATGTACTGTGATTATTTATGATTTATTTTAATGCTTTCTTATTTTGTTCAGCACTTTGAGTTGCCTTGTGTATGAATTGTGCTATACAAATAAACTTGCCTTGCCCTGCCTTGCCTTACATATACTGTAGATGTATAAAAGTGGCTAACCTCTTTATACTGCCATTCTTCCTTCTAAAACTGTGTGGTCCCTGGACGGAGCCGCTGGAGTTGGGATGTGCTGCTTTTGAAGTGGAATATTTCCTCTGGGCATTCAAGTGGAAAAAGAATAAAATACATTGCAGCGACTTTTAGTGCTCATTGCAGCATATTATTCAGCGTCTGAGTCTGGGAGAAGATTCAGGACAGAACAAAAATATATTAAACTACCATCAGCTGCAGCCGGAATCCCACGAGAGGAAAACATTTGGGAGGTGCATGTGCAGTTATGTCTATAAGGGAGGCAGATTTAATGGATTCAAGCAGTGGTTCTCAAACTTTTTAACAATATTGATGGTAGAGAGCCAGAGATTGGTTTTAACGTGTGCCAAAAAACAATATCAGGTCTCCCATCATAGTACTAACCAGGCCCTGCCCTGCACAGCTTCAGAGGTCAGAGATGAACATTTGGGAGACATACATTTTTCCCCAAACCTGGTTATGGCATTTTGTCACCTTAGTCCTAGTCCTTGCCAGAGCCTTCCCATATCACCTTTTCATTCATAAATGTAAATCTAAATGTGGGCATGAAATTTGTTTGATTGACGCCCACTTTTTCTCCGAATGCCAACGCTCCAATCAGAAGTCACAAGGCTGAACGTCATATTCTGAGCCATGACAACAAAGAGTTGACAACAAAGATGGAAAACCTCTGCAAGTCACAGTAACTCATTCTTTGTTGGGCTGTTTTTTTTTTTTTTAAATCTACATTCCTTCTTTCTTTTCCTCAGAAGCTAAATGTGGCTAGTTTTAATCAAAATCACCTCTTCAAAAATCTTCTCTCTGAAACTCACTTTTCTGTGGTAACGCACTTGTGTAAGATCTGTGTGTAGGATCGAGAAGGCACATTATTCATGCAACTGTAAGAGTAGCTTACATGTGTGTGTGTGAGCAAACACAACACACTGTTCCTTTAATGTTTTCATACAATCAACGACTCGAGACGATGGACAATGTTGCGACACACCTACAATAATACGAGCTGGGAACATCTATTTTTAGCCTACAGAGATACGAATTGAAATGACATGGGGGTTATGAAATTGCCACGGTGAACCTGTATGTAATCATTGTCTTTGTGCGCCGTCACATGATGTCATGTAATGTGCGGATGACCTGCGAGAGATGAGGTCAGCGACTGGATGGGAGTGTTAGCTCTGCGTGGTGGAAACGAGACAGAAGCAATTAGGGCCAAACTGAACCAAACAACACAAGGACATGACATAATTCTATACATTTCCAGCGTTCAAGCGTTATTTAGAATTATGAAGAAACTCACAGCGTTAAGATTGAACCTAAGTGGTTTTCCATTTACTGTAATGAGATATTATACACCAACAATGTTCCATCATTGTTGGAGATGTGTTTAAATCAGGGGTGTCAAACCGGTCCTCAAAGGGCCTGTGTGGCTTCGGGATTTCATTCCAACCAAGCAGGAGCACACCAGACTCCCATTTCCTCGAGTAAGTCCAGACTTAACCCGGAAACTGGAAGCCAATGTAAGGTTCTACAACTATAAAATGTCTATTCACTTCCTTTGCTATTTTGCTGTCCACACTACACTTGATGGTTCTATCTTAAATTGTCCTTGAAGACTTTTGCTGCCATCCTAAACATCTCCTGACAACTGTAGGAAGAAGATGCTTGTAGAACATTTTCACATAACCTTTATTGTCTAAAAAAACCTTTGGGCGTGTGTCAAAATTTGATGCAGGAAACAAGACGAAGATTTCCAAGTTAAACATCTGTATTTAATTTATTTTTACAATCAGATACAGAAATTCAAAAAGCTCCTACCATAACTATGCCTGCTTTCTTCCCTATGGGCTCACCCTATCTGACTGAACTAAAACATCAGGCAAAATCATATAAGTAATAATGTGCAGAAGGGGCGTGTCGTATCAGCCAGTTCCTGGTCCCGGTCTGGACTCTGCATCAGGTCTGGCCTTTGTCTGGTTTCCCCTCCGCATCTCTCCATTCCACACCTAAAAAGGGATTCACACTTCCAACTTATAGATTTATTCCTTCCTTGAGATAAGGAAGAAATCTCAAGGCTGCTGTCACTGGTCTGGCATCAATCTCCTCCTCTAAAGAACTCCATTATTAGTCCAACAGCCCGCTTCATAAAGAACAAACCTATGTGCAGAAACCTCAAACAACACTAACAACATAGTGTAAAAGTATTAGTACATGAAATCACTGAAAATATAGACCACGTGTGCAGCATTTCTGAGATATGCATCACCTTCTCAACTTCTCATCTTTATTATTGAAAAACACTAACCGGCTGAAACTGAAACAACTGAAACATTGTGTGTTTTAACAAAAAAGCATGAAGGAAAAAGTTTTTTGAAGCAAAAACTTCCTTTTAACAATATCTCAAACAATATCTCAGGGCACCAAAGGGTCTTTTAGACTTGGAAAATAATTACGGAAATTATGTATTCTTTCCTTGGCCGCCCAGTTTTAATGTCAAACCGGACATATTATGTCTGTAAAATGAATCCTTTTTATTTCTGTTACCAAAGCCAATCAAATCTGAAAAAGTTACTCTTTACTTCCTCTTTACTGTATTTGTATTCTTGAAAACACTAACAATATGTGAGTTTGAAGAGATGTTGAAATTGTCACTTTTTCTCTCCCATTGCAGGAGCTAAAGCAGGACATCTCCAGTTTCCGCTACGAAGTCTTGGATCTTCTAGGGAACCGCCGGCCTCCGAGAAGGAACTACTCTTCCTCCAGCGAAACCACGAGAGACGACGGCAACACAGCTTCAGAAGACGACAGCGAATCAGGCGACACAGGAGGAGGCGGAGAAAAATCCCAAAAATCATCCAAAGGAGTTAGCTTCATGGTCCCACTCGAGGAAGACTCTGGGGCAGGCTCCAATTCAGGCGTGTCCGCGCTGGTGCGATCGATTTCTGTAATGCCGGAATCAGCTGGCGGTGGGGAGCAGGAAGAAGGGGTGGGATGGGGTTTGGAAGAAGAGGACGAAGACGGGAAACCGAAAAGCAACGGTCTAAAAACAAGCGCACTGTCGACCGCCGCCGCCACCATGATAGCCTCCACCTCGTTCACATCATCCTTGGCGCGCGCGAGAGGCAGGCTACAGCAGATGTCAACCACCAGCGGGAAAACGGACTCCTTCAAGCGCTTATCATACCTGTTTTCACGGTCCAAACGCAAAGCCCCGCCCGTGCCCTTGCCGCTCCAAACATCCCCGAGTTTCACCATCTCCGACGGCTTGTTGCGACCGCTGGGCAGCCATGGACACGCCGATTTCGGGCACGTCACGCGAAGCGAGCCGCACCTGCACGAAGTCGGGAGGTCGTCGGACAGCATCGGAGCGGCGTATTCCCCGTCACGCCGAACCAACGGACGCGATTCCCTGCTTTCCGCTTTGCCCCGACCGCCGCCCTGCCCGTGCCAATCGCTGCACTGCGCTTCCAACATGTCGGAGTCCAGCGCGCGGCTTTTGGATTCGAGCGAGGACGTTTTCCAAGGGGGAGGGGGGTTGGTCGGGGAGGAGGTGAGGATGTCGCGGAGTGGGCGGGGCCTGTTGATGGACGGGTGGGTGGGGCCTTGCGACGATGTCATCGAGGACAGCTGCGAGGTCATAGAGGAATCGGTGACGACGCAGCTATAGGACGGGCTTGGTCACATGACTGTTATTTCATTTGATCTCCTGGTAACTCTATTTTCAGGATACATTTATTAATGTCTAACTTATCAGCATCTTTATATGCATGTTAATTAATTCTAGATTTTAGCATTAAAAACATATGTGCACAATAAGATGCTGGTTTAGAAATTAATAACGTGCAACTTTTAACATAAACGGCATATTCTCCAGGCTGTCGCCGCTGTGACACTCTGCTTTTGGAACTCCCGATCCTGATTCTTACAATAGATTTTTTTATTGATTAATTGCTTCAAGAATGAAACTTGCAGCCTTTTTTAACACTGCAAAGTTATTCTCATGAAAGTGTAATCTATTGGAAATCAAACAAGCTTAAAAACTCTTCATAATCTTATTTTATTTAAACATTATTTTGACCGATTATGTAATATTGGACAGTTTCCAGAGGTTTACCAAACCACATCTCAAGGCCCATCGACAAGCCACGTCCCACTGGTTAAAAAATATTGCTTTCATTACGTTCCTCAAATATCAAAGATTTTATTGCGTAAAAGACACATTTTTACAGTGAGAAGATGTGTTACTATAAGTTGTAACCGAGTGAAGTCACAAATCTGTTTCCATTGTACAAAGTAAACGTAACGATACGGTACAACTATCCAGGCAAAAACGTGAAAAATACATGAACCCAAGAAAAATGCAGATCCACCTCTAGGACGGTCGAGAAATGCGCCTTTAAGTGTTACCTGTATTATTATTTATTTATTTATTTATATTGATAATAAAGGAGAGAGACAGAGAGAGGTGGGAGGAGCCAGGAGTCAATACAAAGATGGCTGCTTCTGAATTTCAGAGCGTTTTTTTTATTCTTATTTTTTATATGAAGGCAGTTTGATGTCATCTTGACGAATTCACCAGCATGTTATTCTAGGTCAATATTTACAGCGAGAACATACTATATACCCATTATTAATCTCACAGCATTCTCCACCTCATCTTTGTAATTTTGTAAAACTACTAGCTTTTAGCATTAGCGAACAGTAGTTGAACGTACTCTTGCCTTGACATGTAGCCACCATCACAAAAACCGCATGATACTCCCATTCTTTAGAAGTCTTTGGCATGACCGTATGTGGTACTTAGCATAGTTTCCCCGATAGCTTATCAATGACATGCGTAAGCTCCAAGATGCTCAGCCACTTTAACATCAACAGATGTAAACATCGATGTCCATATTTACTCTTCAATGATTACTCCATTCGGGATGTTGTGCACAGTTTCCATTTACGAACCAATCAAAATACAACAGCCCTAGGATAATCGGTCAATATTTGCCGATAGTATTGGAACCAAACTGCTTTCTGTCTGCAAAAGGGAGGGAAAAAGGGGAAATAAATGCATATAATTTACAACCTCTCAGGCCCAAGACAGCGTGGCAAAAGTACATGCTGTTATTATGACGTTTCAGAGGAAGACCAAAATAAGATCAATCAATCAATCAATCAACGTTTATATTGTAGAGCGCCTTTCCTACACAAGGCAACGCAAAGCGTCTTCACAACCCCTATCACATCATGCATAAATCAAACACATTAAAGAGCACACAGCTATCTATAAAAACATATAAAAAATAAAAATCACAAAAATTAAAACCTTTAAACATTAAAAACACCGTCTTGGGCCTACAAATCCTCACCTATACACAGTGCATTCAAAAGATTAAAGAAAAAACCAAAGATGAGCAAGATAAAATCATTCAGCTTGTATATGCGCAGCAAACACAGATTGATTTGAAGCCTGATTTAAAATGCCAAGTAGCCGCCTGACTCACATTCTCAGGAGCACGGTTCCAGACTCTAGCCGCAATAATCTGAAATGCAGTTGCCCAGGTCTAAGTACCCCGACTCTGGCCCTAACAGAGTCCAGTCCCTGTGCTCCCTCAGAGTCCGGGTCGGTTCATATGGCACAACATGTCATGGAGTAGTACCATTGGCGTCGAGACCCAGGAGATACTTTTACACACGAACGCTTGCATTGTGAAGTCTATCTCTGAGGAACAGGAAAGCCAGTGCAGATACCTGAGAACTTGGACTAATGTGGTCCGTACTTCCTAGTTCTGGTCAGTGACTCGAGCTGCTGCATGTTGAATGTACTGCAGCAGTTTTACAGCCTGTTTGGACAGACCTGTGAGCAGGCCATTGCAATAGTTCTAACGACGGAGACAAATGCGTGAATAAGAGTCTCCAAGTCTGCCTTAGACACTATGTTTTATAATTTTAGCAATGTTTTTTAGGTGGTAATAAGCTGCTGATGTTACAGATTTTATGTGGCTTTTGAAATTTAAGTCTGAGTCCATTATCACTCCTAGATTTCTGACCTGATTTGAGGGTTGTAGAGAGAGAGCCTGGAGGTGACAAATAACGCTCTCCTCTTTGTTTCTGGGGTCCGAAAACAATTATTTCAGTTTTGTCGGTGTTAGAGTTGGAGAAAGTTATTTGGCATGCCAATCACCGATTTGCTGGACACAGTGAAGGAGCGAGTCCATTGGTTCATGCTCTCCTGCTGTCAGGGACACATAGACCTGAGTATCGGTCAGCGTAATTGTGATAAGAGACATTATTACTGTGAATCAACTGACCTAGAGGCAACATGTAAATATTAAACAGAAGAGGACCCAGGATTGACCCCCTGTGGCACTCCGCAGGTCAGGCCAAGTGGTCTGAGGTACAGTTTTCGATCTCCACAAAAAACTTTCTGTCTTGTAAAATAGGACCTAAACCAGCTTAGGGCGGTGGGCCAGCAACACCAACCCAGTCCTCAAGTCTCTGAATGAGGATGCCATGATCAATAGTGTCAAAAGCACACCTTAAATCTAGCCAGAAAAAGGGCTGAGACTTTTCCTGCGTCATTGTTTAGATTTGAATGTCATTTGTTACCTTATTAGCGCGGTCTCAGTGCTGTGGTGGGGGTCTAAACCCTGACTGGAACATATCAATAAGCGTTATTGATTATTAAAATTCTGTAAGTTTTTATAGGCAACATTTTCCTAGAATTTTTCCCATGAAAGGCAGATTTGAAATGGGCCGATAAATTTTTGAGTGCCAGGGCTTCCAGACTCCTCTTTTTTAGGAGGGGCCTGATGACCGCCGTTTTCAAGGCCATTGGGAATGTTTCCAGATTCAAGAGACATATTAACTATTTTGTGTAAGTGAAGGTAAAAGACTGCTCAGTAACTGACTTGATTAAATCTAGGAGGTAATACATCCAGGCTGCATGTGGAGGAACTCAGACTAGTGATTATCTCCTGGACAGTTTCAATTTGTACTGGTGTAAAGTGCTCAGCCCAAAAAGCCTCACTGGCGGTTGGATTATTATTTCTATCGTGGAGAGTGTGATGGCGTTTTTGATACCTTGGACTTTGTCATTAAAGAACTGAGCAAACTCATTACATTTAGATTGGAAGTAAGTTCTGATGGCATCTTAACAGGGGGATATCGTCAATCTATTTACTGTTTTGAAAACAGAACACGTAGATTGTTGCTACAGCCTTCAATAGTTTTCAGAAAAGTACATTTCCCTCGTTCTAACGTAGTTCCCTGTTAAAATTGCACAACGCATCTTTGAAGATCTCATGGTCAACTTTGAGATTTGACTTTCGTTTCGCCACTTTCCGCTCGGGCCTTCCGGCACTCCACTCTTCTGTGCCCTGGACCGAGTCTGCTTTAGTCCCATGGCGCTTTTTTGCTTGTTTGTAACTATTTTAACCTTTACAGGAGCAATTGTATCCAGAACATTCAAAACAGTGTGGTGACAGAATCAAGTAATTCATCTACAGTAACACACAACGTGTTCTCAAAGTTTACCCTCCCCATGAACAGTTCGCCTGTATTATCATTTATGTGTCTTCTTCTAACAACCGAAGATTCAGCATGGTGGTTTACAATCAAGACACATGTCAAAAAATACACAGAAATGATCAGACAGAGCACATTGACCACATTTACATTTGAAATATTAACCCCCTTGGTAATTAACAGATCGAGAGTGTGTCCTCTGCTGTGGGTGGGGCCACATCACATGCTGAGTGAGACCAAAGGTTTCCAGCACAGAGCTCAGCTCTATTGCATATCTATCATTAGCATTATCTACATGTATATTGAAATCACCTACAATGACCAAACCATCAAAATCTGTGCACACAACTGAAAGCAACTCAGTGAAATGATCAGTGAAACTATGGCATGACTGTGGCGGCTTGTACACAACAATAATAAGAATGGAAGAAGATAATCTTTTGTTCTATTTAAAAGAAACTACTCAATGATGAAAATTTCCCACGAGACACTCAATGGGAGACAAAACGATCTTTAAAAACTGCTGGCTATGATGGGCCCCCCCCCCCCCCCTTTTATTATTCTCGTGTTTACATGTTCAAGCATTTGAAATTTGGTTGGTGAGCTTCTATTAAACTGCATCTCCTGTATTATGGTCAAGCCATGTTTCCGTCATAAACAATAAAATCAAGATCATACGAACAGATAAAATTATAATTAAAAATAAATAATTAATTATTATTAGATAAAACTTTATTGATCTCAACAATAGGAGAAATTTTAAATGTCATATTTGGCATGAAATGGGCTAATATCACTGGGAGGGCGTGATGTCACTTCCTGTTAACAAAGATCCAGCCCGTTCACTTCCTGCCTATGCTATCCTACAGATTTTTAGGTGAGTTTTAGTGACGTTTTTTAGTAATTAGATCAATACATTCAGCTTGAGACTGACAACAAAAGTGTCACTTTGCTTTCTCTCTGAGGTAGAGCTTTGACTGTGGCCACTCAGAGAGATTTGTAAACTTTATAAAAACACAATGACAAGCACAATCAAAGAGCACTGCTGTGTCCCAAAAATGCCCAGTATCTTCACAGTTTAATTCTCGTTTGAGCATTATTTAGGAAACTCGTGTAAACCACTGCTGAACTCCAGTGAAACTCAAGCCGTTC